AAAAAAAAAAAAAAAAAAAAAAAAAAAAAAAAAAGAGCATCAGCAAAAGCCACATTTCCTTCATAGGAATGGCACGCTGCGAGAGAACCGAGGAATAGGTCCCCAGGTCATAAGCCTGGGATTCTGGTTCCCAGTCTCTTTTCGCCTATAGTCTGGGTGACCCAGTCTGGGTGACAAGTGAGACTCCAACTCAAAAATAAATAAATAAATAAACAGTGGGACCCAAAGATCCATCAGCAAAATTCCCTTTGTAATAGACATAAAAATCATGAATCTGGGGGGGAAAAATAAGTTGGTTTTGATGGCTGACAGGAATCCCTTCTTAGAAGGTATCAGTTGGTCTCATGAAAACAATTCAAGTGGAAAGGTGAAAGGAAATATTGCATGCCAGTTGCCTCTTGAGAGTTCCCATTAATGGGAGGCATGCTCTATACAACTCCATCAGACCGGCTAGAGGCAATAGATTTCCAATGCTGATGAGACCCTGAGCTCCGGAGCCCACTTACAGCTTGATATTTGCTGAGCAAGACGCTGACGTGGCAGCAGACGTGGCTCCAATGTCCAGCTCACCCCATAGTTATCCCTTCAGTCCTTCTTGATGAGATCGGTCTGAGAGATGAGACTGTGCTGAATTGCAAGAGCTGTAACTGCCAGAGAAAATTAAATAGGGGCTTCAAGTAGTGACTGAGCCAGTGGACTAAGCAGCCAAAAGGGAGACAAGAGTATTTCCTGAAGGTTTATAAAATCAAGCAATCTCCGGGCTTGCAGAGGCTCTGAAGCACCTGGGCAGAGCCACAAGGCAGGCAGGGCAAGGACACACAGTACATCAAAGTGGCACCGTCCTTCACTGCCTGAGAGCAACCCTCATGCTGCAGGACTGACGGTCATCTCCACTGCCTATAGCTTGGGTCTCTAACTACTAGACAGGGAGTAAAAAGTTGAGTTTGATTTTACTCACCCAGTGAAAAAAACTCGTCTTGAGATGGAAACAATATTTCAAAACAGAAAAGGAGGAAAATCTTTCCCTAATTCACAATGTTTTCTCACGGAAATAAAGAAATGAGTTAGGAAAAGTCACCCTAGAGGCAAGCTACCAACTCCCTAAGTAGCTACTTTGAGGAAGGCACCAAAATCTCCAAAGACTCCTGAGACCACTTGAATTATTTTTTCAGATTAATTTATGCTCAAATATTCTAGGTCTTAATTTTTACAAATAAGGTTAAAAAAATCCATTTCAGAGGTTTTAGTTCTTTGTAGAGGGACATTTTACCATGTCCATACATAATTTACAAAGGCATAAAGATTGCCCAGCAGAAAGTTGGTCAAAGTTCTTTTGACCCAATAACTCTAACCCATAGCATCTGCCCAAATACAGTACTGCTCACTCTGCACTTAATACTCTCTTTACTGCCAGCTGAGGTAGTTGCCACTTTAGAACAGTTTAAGGCTGTGGGAAACACTGGTGGAAATAATCAATTGGCCACCGGGAGCAGAGGCCCAGCACTAACACTCTGAAAGTCAGCAATAGAGCTGGGCCTTTCAAAATTATCTGCTAAACAGCTGGTCTGAAGGAGTCATTACAGGTTTAAAAAAAAATCACCGGCCGGGCTCGGTGGCTCAGCCTGTAATCCCACACCTTTGGGAGGCTGAGGTGAGTGGATTGCCTGAGCCCACGGGTTCGAGACCCACCTGGGCAGGCGAGACCTCATCTCAACAATAAAATCAAAAAATTCGGCCAGGCGTGGTAGTGCGTGCCTATAATTCCAGCTCCTCGGAAGGCTGAGGCGGAAGGATGGCTGGAGCCCCGCAGGTCGAGGCTGCGGTGGCCGGGAGCAGCCACTGCACTCCAGTCTGTGTGACAGAGACTCCAACTCAAAAAAAAAAAAAAAAATCACCTGCTTTCTCTGTAACCATGCTAAGCCAGTAAGTCTGATGCTGTGCTCTTGCCATGAGCATCTATCTATCTTCCTAGCTAAACACTTTTTCCAAGGTTTAAGGGTGAAGATTACTAAGAACCAAGCATATTTGCTCCCTCATAAAAGACATTCCTAGTTTATAAGGGTACTTTCCAATGGCAAAATAATCTGAAAATAATGCCAGTATAATACAAGGCAACATAAACCTCAGGTGAGGTGGAATTGCAAAGAAGTGAAACTTCATGGAAAAATGTATCTGAATCTGATGGCTGAATGAACATCCAGAGGCAAGAAGATAACCTGGAGGTCTATTTCCTGGCAATGCAAATTGAGGCAGCTACATAGCAACGAACTATGTCTCAAGAAACTTCAGTTTCAGGATTTATAAACTGGTCAGATTGGAGGGGTGCAGGTGGTAAGGAAGGGCTGAAAGGAATGCGTAGAATAGAAAGAGGAAGGGAAAGAACAAGGAGATAGTTTCTCAATTCCATAGTAACTCAAAGATATGTGACTCCATGACAGGAAAAATAGCAAACTTGTAAAAAGCATTCAAATCTGCTAAACAAAATCACTGCTCCTAGCTAGCAGGAATAATGCTATAAACCAAGGGAAAGGGAGTTTAAGAAATGAAACCGAATTGTACATATGTTACAGGTGAGGAAATAGACTCTGTGAAAGGGCAAAAGGTACAAGGAGGGACGGGATGGGAAGAGAAGACTACAAATGTATGTTTACGATAGAATTGAAAGTTGAGTATAATAAAAAGGTCAAGGTATCCTACCTACAGAAGAGCTTATAGGTCTGTTCCCAAAAGCAAGCAGGACTTAGAATATCATATGTGTGAGAGCTAATTCAAAGCTCAATACAACAGCTCCTGGGGCTTTAATGGATAATCCATATTAATAAATATGGAGCCAGGCTCGGTGGCTCAGCCTGTAATCCCAGCACTTTGGGAGGCCGAGGTGAGCGTATAGCCTGAGCCCGCAGGTTCAAGACCCGCCTGGGCAACTTGGCGAGACCTCATCTCTACAACAAATCAAAAATTAGCCGGGTGTGGTAGCACGCACCTGTAGCTCCAGCTACTTGGAAGGAGGAAGGATCACCGGAGCCCAGCAGGTGGAGGCTGAAGTGGCCAGGAGTGGCCACTGCACTCCAGTCTAGGTGACAGAGTGAGACTCCAACTCAAAAAATAAAAAAAAATTTTTTTAATATGGAGGGCCCTAGGGGGCTTGTCACTCTGGAGGACTTGTTGGTTCTGAACATGAGTTTGTTACATTTTTAAAGCAACATTCATTTAAAAAACAAGACAAACAAAAATTCATTTTCCTCCCAAAACGGTTCCATCAAGAATTAGTCTCAGCCGGTGCTGTGCACACACCTGTAACCCCAGCATTTTGGGAGGCCAAGGTGGGAGGATGATTTGAGACCAGGAATTCAAGATCAGATTGGGCACCATACTAAGACCCCCATCTCAAGAAAAGGTAGGTAGGCTGCCTTGGCCTTTTTATTATACTCACTATCAATTCTGTCAGAAACATACATTTGTATACTTCTCTTCTCATTCCGCCTATCCCCCTTTTGCCCTTTCACAAAAGAGTCTATTTCCTCACCTGTGATGTATGTATAATTTTGTTTCAATTTCTTAAACTCCCTTCCCCTTGGTTTATGGTATTATTCCTGCTAGCTAGGAGCAGTGATTTTGTTTAGGGAATCTGAATGCTTTTTACAAGTTCTCTATTTTTCCTGTCAAAAAACAAAAATTATTCTAAAGACTCTGAAATAAGCAGAAATGAAGGTGGCTCAGATTTGTGGATTTCTCTCTGAAAGATGCAGCATACAGTCTGAAAGCATCATTGTAGTTATAACAGTTCTTACTTCAGAGGGCCAGGCAGTGACAGAAATGCCACAACTGAATCAACTTTCAAGAAGGAGCTAGAATGCTGTGCTAGCTGAGGCCATATGATCTCTTAGAAACATAAAATTGAGCTGATATCCTAGCCAACAGGAAGCAAACTACCAGAGCATTCAGTATGTTATCCACTCTTCTTCCTCAGGGATCCCACAGAGACCACCAAGATCATTTCCACTGGGGACCAACTCAGGCCTCTCATCTCAGTGAATTTCTGCACTATCTTGCTCTGTTTCAAAGGGTTGGAAGCAACTGGACAACATATGCAACATGGCTCACCAGGCACCAAGACAGTCCACATAAAAATAACTGACCAGGCCGGGCTCGGTGGCTCAGCCTGTAATCCCAGTGCTTTGGGAGGCTGAGGTGAGTGGAATGCCTGAGCCCGTGGGTTTGAGACCCGCCTGGGCAACTTGGCCAGACCTCATCTCCACAATAAATCAAAAATGAGCCGGGCGTGGTAGCGTGTGCCTGTAGTTCCAGCTACTTGGAAGGCTGAGGCGGAAGGATCTCCAGAGCCCAGCAGGTCGAGGCTGCAGTGGCCAGGAGTGGCCACTGCACTCCAATCTGGGTGACAGAGTAAGACTCCAACTCAAAAAAAAAAAACTGACCACCACTAAGTCAGGAAGTTGTTCTGTACGACAGTAGGGTACTGAGAAGACGGGTCCTCCTCCTCAGAGGACACTTCCTCATAGAGTTCATCTTCAGCAATAATGCTCCCCAGTCCATACTCCTGCTCATGAACAGAAACTTCATTTGGTGTGAGGTGTGAAGAGCCTTCCACAAAATCAGCAAATCTGAAAGGAGAAGATTATATTCATTAGAAATCTGCCTTCTATCCTTTCTGGTTTTCTTTCCAAGTAAGAATAAATTGAAACCCTTGATATGCTCACAGCTCAGATTATATTGAGTCTAGCCAACATCCCTGTCCTTGCTCTGGCTGGTAAGTAGATAAAAGCAAGAAATAAAGAGAAAAGGAAAGCTGGGATCATAGGCCAATCCCCCGCAACTCCATCCTGCTTAATAAGCACTAGCCTATCCTTTTTAGTCATGGAAGTGCTAAGATTCCTTTAGTCATCCGTAATCCTGATAAGAGAAGATTACGGAGCATTACACAGTCATTCATGTTTATGGCCCTATAAACTTTATTCCATCAGGATTCTAAATTGAAGCTTCACATACTCATTGGTACAGTTGCTCCCAACTGAAAAGGGGGAAAAAACCTCACCAATTCAAAAAGCAATGTAAAACTTTCAAAGAGAAAACTTAATATGGTACTTCCCATCTCAGTGCTACAATCAAAGCTAGAATAGGTAGTTCCTTGAGGAAACAGGCTAGTGTTTAACCTTTCTCTTGACTACTCCTAGGACAACAGGCAAACAAAGGCCACAGATACAACATGATTATCTAGAAGTATGATCTCTGTTAGAACTCAAGGTCATAATTACCCTGATTAATGCTTGGTATATCTGACCAAGAGTTTACCTTTTTGGAGACTGGATTCGAGAAACGGTCTTCCAAGCAGAGCAATCTGGACTATTACAAAATTCTCGGAGCTCCTCTAAAGCCTTTCGGGTTTCTACCTCTCCTTGTATTCGATATTCTTCTTCTGTCAGGAGACGAGGGGGGACAGGCTTTTCTGTTGCCTTACACATCTTTCTGTGCTCATCAAAATAATATCATGAATCATTAATCAGTAATCTGTATCCATCCTTACTTCTAGCTCCCTTCAGTGGGTCAAGCATATAGCAGACAGCCTGAACACTGAGTCATCACTTCCTGGCCAGGCACAGTGGTTGACATCTGTAATCCCAACACTTTGGGAAGCCGAGGCAGGAGGATCACTTGAGGCCAGGAGTTCAAGACCAGCCTGGGCAACAAAGTGAGACCTTGTCTCTGAAAAATCAAAAAACTTAGCCAGGTGTCGTGGTTAGATGCCTGTAGTCACAGTTACTTGGGAAGCTAAGGTAGAGGGATTGCCTGAGTCCAGGAGGTCAAGGCTGCAGTAAGCTATGATCATGCCACTGCACTTCAGCCTGGGCAACAGAGTAAGACCTCAATTCAAAAAAAAAAAAAAAAAAAGTCATCACTCCCACCTTTTATCCATAGACATCTGACATTATAATAGAGTCCTGACACACTGGACTATGAGTGACAAGTCAGAGTAGTCAATATTATTCCACTAATGTAAACAAATTTGCTTACTTTCCAATAAATGATAAACAAAATGTTTATTTTCCAATAAATAGAGAAAAGATAAGAACATGATGTTCTAAGACAGTAGTTCATTAACTGGGTTCCCCAAACTGAAAGCATCACCTTAAGTATCTGCAAGAGACAACTTCGAAATCTATGAACATTCCATATTCATTATGCAAGGTAAAGGTGATAATATGCTATGAATTACATCTTTTTTTTTTTTTTTTAAGTTGGAATCTCACTCTGTCACCCAGACTGGAATGCAGTGGCTGCTCCCAGCCACTGCAGCCTTGACCTGTTGGGCTCCAGCGATCCTTCCACCTCAGCCTTCTGAGTAGCCGGAATTACAGGCATGCGCTACCACACCCGGCTGATTTTTTTTTTATTTATTGTAGAGATGAGGTCTCGCCAAGTTGCCCAGGCAATCCACTCACTTCAGCCTCCCAAAGCGTGGGATTACAGGCTGAGCCATCGAGCCCAGCATGAATTACATCTTAAAATAAGACTAGGACTGCCAGAACAACCTAAGAGCTAATGTGAAATCATCTGAAACCAGGTGTCTTGAGGGATGTGATATAAAAGGCATACAATTTGTACCACCTAGTGGTAACAGGAACACATGACACTTTATTGAATGTTTTTATTTTATATTAAATGATTAGAATAAAAATATAAAAATGCCTACAGAAAGTCTAAGAAAATAGACCCTGGAAGGAACAAAAACAGAAGTATAATACAATGCCTTCTCATTGATAGTCTCCCACATCAATACCTCTTTATCCTTCTGCTGCAACTGCATCTCACATTGTACATGTCATACTGCACACGTCAAAACAAAGTTACACTGCCTTTCGGTCACCTGTAGGTGATGTACAGCCACTGAATGGGGTACTCCAGGTTCTTAGTACAGAGAGCAATGACAATAACGCCAAGGGCAATGTGTGGTATCTGGATGCCAGAATACATGAAACATAGACCCATCAGCTGTAAGGTCCAGGTCAGCAGGTTGATACTTCGTTCATTCTCCAAGGGTCCATACTTGTAACACACCGCAAAGCTCATGAATCCAACTGTGAGGACGTAACCTATGAGAAGAGTTAGCAGAAGACATTCTTTTTCAACTGTATCTGGTAAAAATAATTTGCATTGGCAGCAGTAGTAAATTCTCTATATAGCACCTATTGAACCAGAAAATCAGATAAGATTTTTACTAATCATTTATACTTTTTTCATAACTAGAATATATTTCTAAGTTTCCATCCTTTCTGTTGTCACAGATTTATTAGGATAAAATAGAGTGTTAAAGCTACATGTTACACAGTTCTGAAACAGTCTACTGAAAATATCCAGCTGGGTTCGGTGGCTCAGCCTGTAATTCCGCACTTTGGGAGGCTGAGGTGAGTGAACTGCCTGAGCCCGTGGGTTTGAGACCCGCCTGGGCAACTTGGCGAGACCTCGTTTCTACAATAAATCAGAAAATTAGCCGGGTGAGATGGCACGTGCCTATAGTTCCAGCTACTTGGAAGGCTGAGGTGGAAGGATCGCCTGAGCCC